TTTCCTTTTTTTTTTTTTTTGGGAAGGGGGAAAATAAATTCCCTCACAAAACAACCCTAAAAGCAATCAAAATTATAACCAAACATTAACAACAACCAAAAAAAAAAAAATCAAAACGTTCCTACTCCAAAAGCGAACTGTGCCCTTCAAAAAAAAAAATATGTGTCCATGTGACCAGATACTTGTGATCTGACAAAACCAGTTTAGAACTCTTACATTTGGTCTTTCTTTATGTATTATATCTGCTTTTGAAGATTTCTTTTATTTGTTTAAAAGAAATGCTTTTCTGCTTCTCCTCCTTATATTTGTTCTTTGTTCACTCACCCAAACCAAGAGGCAAGCAACCTCCACTTCCAATCAAGAGGTTGTGAGTTCGAGGTTCCCCAAGAGCAAGGTGGGAAGTTCTTGGAGGGAAGGATGCCGGGGGTCTATTTGGAAACAGTCTCTCTACCTCAGAGTAGGGGTAAGGTCTGCGTACACACTACCCTCCCCAGACCCCACTAAGTGGGATTATACTGGGTTGTTGTTGTTGTTGTTGTTGTTGTTGTTGTTGTTGTTGTTGTTGTTGTTGTTGTTGTTGTTGTTGTTGTTGTTGTTCACTCACCCAAACCCAATCAGGGACAAACCTAGGTGTAACGACCCGATCGGTCGTTTTGAGCTCTAGCGCGTCGCTTCACTTCAAGCATTATGACTTGCACGCATGGTCGAAATTGAATTTCAGGAAGTTCGGAGTTAATTTGGAAAGAAAATTCTCATTTCGGAAGCTTTAAGTTGAAAGAATTGACTAAGGTTTGAGTTTTGAGTAAACGACCTTGGAATTAGGATTTGAAGGTTCCAACAGGTTTGTATGATGATTTTGGACTTGGGCATATGTTCGGATCGGGTTTTAGATGACCCGGGAGCGTTTCGGCGCCAATTGTGGAAGTTGGCATTTTGGAAGAATTTCATAAATTTGGGTTGCAGTGCATTTCCATGTTATCGATGTCCGTTTCGGATTTCGAGTCTGGGAATAGCTCTGTATGTTGATTCTGGTATTGTGAGCACG